TATATTTTTTTTATGGTCGCAAAGTAATTACTTCTTTAAAAGAAGCACCTTAGACAGTGTGCAATTTTGGACGCAGCAATGAGTGATTCGTTGAATTATTCATTCAGCTGATTTGTTCCAAAAACACTGATTCATTCACAAACTAATTTGGGAATCCCTGCGTTTCATGAACAAACATTAATAAACATGATAACAACGCCATTACATGCACAAAGTCTTTCAAGTTTAAAAAATGTTTGTCCAACTTAGAATAAACAGTTACTCAAGGTCACTCTGGATATGATTAAGACATAGTGTTTCACAGCTATACATCACCAGTGTTTTAGTAACTTGCGTAATTATTTGTTTCATACAGGACAATTGCTTGAGAGGTGCTTTATTTTAAATTTTAAAAAAAAGAAGAATTAGGAAGAATCAAATTATGAATGATTTACTGCCACTGTGTGAATAATATGTAATCCATAAAAAAGTAACTGTAATCTGATTATGAGCATTATAAAATAAAGCAATAAGCCCCAAGAAGCGGTGGTTTACAGTGAATTTATAACAGCTAAGGGACGTTGTTAGGCACGACGCAAAGACGGTTATTCCCTATTCGTAGTAAGGTTTCACAAAATAAAACCGAGCAAATAAAGTGTAATGATACTAATAAAAACATTATTCTTCCGCTAAACAATGTAGTGCCTCAGAAACGGTTGTGGTTCCAACAAAGTGGTTGCCGAGCAACACACAAATGTAAACAAAGGTGTATGTTTGTAGCGTAATTTACAACGGCTTCGAACTTGGCTCCACCAATCAGAATCAAGGACCGTAGGCTATACTTGATTTTTGGAATCTGATTAAGTAATCCAGTTTACATGTAATCAGTTACTACCCAGCACTGACTATAGCAGTCATAATTATGCAGTGACAAGTAAAATGTTGTCTACAATTTTGTTTATTGAACTGGTCCATAAAAGCAACTTCATCGCAATCGGACTGTTTGTACTGAACTGATTACCTTAACACGATACTTATTTGTGGTTCTTTTTATGGCCATGTTTATTTCCATATGACGGGGCCAGTGGAAAGTGAAAAACATGCGTGACAAAGAAAACAATTTCTAAAGAACAGACATTATCTGAAGAATTGTAACATTTGTGTATTGTTATTGCACTCAGTTTGGTCTGTTGTTGAGGTTATTCTAATCCTCTATTCTGAAATCAAATGTGTTTATCAGGGTTGGCTACTAAAAGCAGAGTGAGATAGTAGTAGTTGTTGACAACTCTGCTTGGGTCCATTCATAACAGGAAACAACAGCTCGTTATCCTTCTGCTGTTGCTCTCTCAGCCACAGCTAAATAAACATTTATATAGTCAAAGAAATTGTTTCCTGGATTTCATAACAAGGCTGTTTTTATTATGCCTAGTATGTGTGGATGACAATACATGTGCTGCAAACATGTTTCCATCGCTCAAGAGTAGGTTTTACTATGGTACTTCTGTATATACTATTGCATTGAAATAATGCTGATTTCAGGTTTCACTTCAGTATTTCTCATCCTATATAACTATGCTAGGTTACCTGTATTGTCATATCCATTTTTGTATCCGAAACACCTCTAACAGAATAAAATCTAATGAATAAGCCAAATGTGTTTGTGGCAAGGCCATAAAATATGTTTCTTGTATATGTAGTTGTATGATTATTGGAAAAAAAGGCAGACACAAGTGCAGTAGAAGAAGCAGCTGTATTTGACTATAAAGGCATCTAATCCAGTGTCTCTACGCAATTTTTCTTTATATATTTCAGTGTAAAAAGCCTATATTCTATAGAAAAAAAGAAACAGAAGTTTAACAGAAATCCGAAAATAACAATCTCTGAAAAGAAAACATTATAATCACAATAAGTCCCCATTCACCAATCATTTCAATTAAAATAGAAACATTATCTCAAGTTTTCTATCTTTTTCCCTCAAAACAAATATATATATACCTTATATATATATATTTATATGTATTTTCCAAGGCAGTTTGGCATGGCCAACAGATAAAATGATCATGGCCATATTATTTCATATCTCAACACAAAGTTTAAAAACATCTCAAATGAGGGCTGAAGCTATGACAACAGTTGTTTCGGTCAGGTGACCGCGTACAAGATGGCACTGATAAACAGAGGCAAGTGCAGCCATACGTCCATAAACACAAACATGCATCCACACACATGAAACACAAAGCTCTGAGCTTCAAATTTAAGTGAAAAATATGCTTTTGTTTTCCCTAAACCAGGTCTGAAGTGAAAATCTCCCAGCTAAAAGCACAAGAATGGGACCTGACATTACGGTCCGGTCATGAGGTGTGTGTGTGTGTGGTAGATAGTGTGTGTACTGCAGGTCTTTTTCTCCAAAATCCATCTTGTTTTTGCCTCCTTATTGTTGCATCATAGCTCTGCGGGTCTGTATATGGCCATTACAGTCACTGGGATAGTTGATATGCTATATTCCCTGAATACAATAACTTTAGGCAAGTATTAAGTTTATGGGTGAGGATTTATGCACTGTGTATTACAGGAATCAAGCGTGAGGGTGACGATGTGTACAGTATGTAAATCATTAAGTGGAAAACAAAATATGTAAAACTAAACGTGGAGAGAAAGGAAATGGATGAATGTGAAAGAAAACAATGGCAGGTAAAGGTACAAGAAAGCTCATCTTGGGCAGAATGGTAATGATTAAGCGTTAAGTCCCTGGGTGCTTGTGTGTGTG